GGCTTGAGCCCAGGAGTTGGAGGTTGCTGTGAGCTAGGCTGACGCCACGGCACTCACTCTAGCCTGGGCAAAAAGCAAGACTCTCTCTCAAAAAAAAAAAAAAAAAAAGGAAAGGGACTTAATTAAAGGTACAGAAAGCAACTAATGGGGAAAGTCATAAAGTGACCCATGGACATAGTCCCTTCTTAATCACTTGCCATCTTCTTCCTTCCCTGTCCTTTTGACTTTCTTCCTTTTTTCTCTGACCTCTCCTCCCTCTGCCTGCTTCTCTTCTTTCTCCTGTCTTCCCATCTACCTCCTCCTATTTTGCATTTCTTTTCCCCACTTCCTCCCTTTTTAAATTTTCCTTCGCTGAAACACTCTTATTTATCTTTAGGCAATACTGTCCCACTGCCTTCCTCTCTCACCCTGGCATTTTCATTCATTCATTCATTCATTCATTCATCGACTGAATATTTGCTGAGCAGCTCCTATGGGTCGGATCATCTTTGTCACCATGGTGGCGCATGCCTGTAGTCCCAGCTACTCGGGAGGCTGAGGCAGGAGGATCGCTTGAGCCCAGGAGTCTGAGGTTGCTGTGAGCGAGGCTGACGCCACGGCACTTACTCTAGCCTGGGCAATGAAGCAAGACTCTGTCTCAAAAACAAAAAATTAAAAAATTAATAAAAGAATGAAAAAAAAAAAGAAATCCTGCTAGGGCTTATTTGATGGTTAGGTCCTATTTTCGGGGAAACACGGTGGTAGCGTGAGAGGTGAGGTGTAGGGGGGAGGTTCTGCAGAGGGAGTTTAGTTGCTTTTCTAAAATTGTCTTTTAAAAAAACACTTTTTAGTTTAGCTTTCATTAGAGGCCATGCTCCTTACTTTTTTTGAGAAGTTAACTTGAGTAGACCAAAAAAAAAAAAAAAGAAAAGAAAAAAGAGGAAACACCTGTAAGTGATTACAGCACGTGCAATTTAGTGAACCCCACCTGGACTGGAATCAAGATCCCTGGATGGGAGATGCAAGCACCCTCCGGAGGGGCCCACGGCACGATTCCCGGGAATCGGAGCCTCGGGGAGGGGAAGAAAGCTTGGCAAGGTTTTGCTCTGCTCCTGAGTGTCTCTGCAAAACTTTGGAAGTATTTTTGCATCACTGGCGGTGATGCGGAAGGTCATTCCACAAGTATTTTGCGAGCACCGAGCATCGTTTTTACTCGCAATTTCACTCGGTGAACTTTCATTGTCAATGCAGAGAAAGTTTTACGTTCCCCCTCTTTTTAACGTGTTGTTCAGAAAAGTTTCAAATCTTTGATAGGTTTCTGTATCTGGCTTCTTTGTTAAATTAAAAAAAAAAAAATAACCCTAGCAGACATCTGAGCCAATAATGTCAGGCCATTTTTTTTTTCCTATTAAAAACAGAAACATGAAAACAGTTTTCTTAATCAAATCCAAATTGGACCAGTGTTTCTTTAGATCTAAGTTCCTGTTGGTGGGTTTATCTCCAGGGTGTACTGCGTTGTTTTCTATTCCTTCAAATCTCAGTTGACTTAAAATCGCCCACCTACTCATGAAAGTGTAGTTTAGGTCATAATATGCCACAGTGAAGTGATAAGTGTCTAAATACTTTAAGGAATTCTTGACTGGTTTATGTGATAGAATTATATTCCCTCCCCGCTCACTGAAAAACTTACTGCGGAAAAAAAAAATAATAAGCAGATAAACAAATATGTTTATTTGTTGACATGTCAAAGAAACATGGAAACAACTTGGGAGAAATTTGTATATTTCGCTGTAAGAATATTTAGAAGATTACCATCCAATGGCTTTTTCTTGTTTATAGTTTGGGAGTAAACATTCGCGAATATTCGAGAATGCACCTGTGTCTAGCTGAACGTAACATGCTTATTTTCCCGCTACGGTTAATTCCCAATGCTAATTTAAGTCCAGAGCAGAAAAGAGTAAATATTTGGATAGTATTGCCTTTGGTACACGTGTGTTCAGGTCTATTCAGTTAAGAAAGCTTTCAGACCTTTGTTAAAAAGTACTTGTATGAAGAAGATTTTGGAAGGGCAGTCCAGTTTCGATTTGACAGCGGTCCCTAATCAAGGCAGAGTCTTCAGTGGTTAGACTTTGAGAATACAAACATGCCTATAAACAGCCCTAGTTTTAAACGGAATTCTTTTTTCCAGACCTCACGAAGCATCCTCCTTTCTACGGTGCTCTGTGGCATTTTATTTCCCGCCTTGCCCTTCTACATTTTGCTTTCTGAGCGGTTTTGTTCAGTGCCTGGGATCGCCAAATCACAAGCCTTTAAAAAAAAAAAAAACAAAAAAAAACGACTGTAACTATAATAGAAGCATAACAGAAACTAAACAATGGTTAATATGGCAGAATATGTATGAATCCTGCATGAGCAACTTGGCTTACACCACACAGCTTACACAAGCTATCCATGCCCTAAACCAAGTATGGATCGAAAATATTTGGGGAGAAAGAATGGATGGTTGTGTCTGTACTTAACGTGCACAGACCTTTTATTTCTGGTCATTATTCCCTAAACGATACACTATAACAACTATTAGTATTCAGATAGTGTTTACATTGTATTAGGAACCATAAGTAATCTAGAGATGACTGGAAGTAGATGAGACAACATCCTTACGTCATATACAAATAATAAACCATTTTATGTAAGAAACTTGAACATCCATGGATTTTGTTATCTGCAGGTAGTCCCCCAGAGATACTAAGGGGCAAATGCATGCCACTTGCAGGTCAGGAACACAAAACCCTTCTATGAGCAGCAGATCTATCAACTGCTGCCTGGATGTTGATTGACAGCCTGAATCAACTTTGGAAGTTACGTGTTGGTTACAGAGTGAGTCTTGATTTTTCTGGGTCTCTGACAGTGTTTGGACAGAGTTCTCCTCTCTGTCCCACCACGTGAGCAAGAAATAAAATTCAGTTATGTTAAGCCACAAAAAAATAATAAAAATAAAAAAAAAAACCCACTGTATTCTTGTGATTTCATTATAGTAGTTCACTTCAAGTACGTCTTCGAGGTGTTTAATTAAGGAAAGATCACAGTGAAGAAACCGCTATTCTGACCATGTTTTTTCTTTTCCCTTCCCTTAACTAGGAGCCTCGATTGTAGTAGGAAGCTGAAAAATGTAAGTGTCTCAACTTCGCTTCTCAGACTTTTGTGCCCTTTCTGACCTTGGATGGTCCAGTGGTAAAGTTTAACTATGTTCAATGCCTTTCACACACTTCGATGGAAGGAATCTGTGTGTTGCTGATAGAATAATTGACGACTGCGATAAAAATAAAAATAGTAGATTTAAGGAGGCGGGGGGGGGGGGATTCTCTTTAATTAGATAAGCGTTCAACCCAGGAATAAACAAACGAAAGCTTGTGCTCTGTTTGTGATTTGGTTTCCCACACACACAATCATCAGCCTCAACACGAACATTTGCCCCTTTCCATTGGTTGGCATGGATTGGGGTTATTAAATTAAGCAGCTGGGCAAATTGTTTCAGGGGAGATGAGCCTAATAAGAATGGCGTTGACTGCCGTGGGCCTGGACTTTCTGTTATTTTATTCCCCCATTAATTGATCTTTTGTGTGCTTTTTACCGGCATTTCCCCAAATCAACTTTTTGCATTTATAGTTAGACCTTATTTTCAAAAGGCAAGCATGAAGAGTGCTCTTTTATTTTAAAAATTCGAACTGAGGGACGTGAGGAGCGACCTTTGGTATCTAAAATTTAAAAATCGGCCGTGACCTATTTCTTTCTAATTTCCCAGGTGCTTGTTATGTTTGACTGGCATTCCTATTCTTCTTTTCCTTCCTCTATGAAAGCAGACGTATGTGCCATTTCTCATCAGACGATTTTAAACAGATCAGAAAACGCCCCATCCAAAACACAACACAGTCTGCCTTTCCTTTGCCTTTCAAGATAGCCTCATACTCTTCTTAGCACACAGCAGGTGTTTGATGGTCCTCATAAGCGCCCCGACCTTCGGAATCAGATGCTCTCTGGAAATTTATTTGTAAGCAGTCAGCTAAAAATAAGACGTTCTGGAAGTTTTGAAAGGTTCATGAAGAAGAGTTTTCCCTCAGTGGGAAAAACCTGAGGCGAGTCCTAGTACTGATGCACAGAGCCATGTTTTGAGCCCGTGGCCAGCTGGAATGACCCAATTATAGCCCGTCGTCCAAGGCATTATTTTTTGGCCACTAAGTGGAAGGAGGTAGAGTGAGCGAGTCCCAAGCTGGCTGACCATGAGAACAAAATAACAGTCTTACCGTGTTTCCCTGAAAATAAGCTCTACCCATAAAATGAGTCCTAGCAGGATTTCTAAGCATGTGTGCAATAGAAGCCCCACCCTGAAAATCAGCCCTAGTGGTGGGCGAGACGAGATCTTCTTTGTTGCCCAGGCTAGAGTGAGTGCCGTGGCGTCAGCCTAGCTCACAGCAACCTCCAACTCCTGGGCTCAAGCACTCTCCTGCCTCAGCCTCCGAGTAGCTGGCTACAGGCACGCACCACCACGCCCGGCTAATTTTTTCTATATATATTAGTTGGCCCCATTAATTTCTTTCTATTTATAGCAGAGACGGGTCTCGCTCTTGGCTCAGACTAGTCTCCAACTCTGACCTCGAGTGATCTCCCGCCTCGGCCTCCAGAGTGCCGGGATGACAGGCCTGAGCACCGGCCCGGCCTAAAGTCCCTTTCTTTAGAGTTTCTTTGTCCGTCTTCCCAGGTGTGCACTGACAAGCCCGACCGAGAGAACAGTCTGTCCAGGTCCAGGTTAAGGGTCTACTGGCAATTTAACCAGGACTACAGATCCAGGGATTAGCAGACCTAAAACTGGACCTCCATTTCCTGATGCCAATTTTTTTTTTTTTTTTTTTTTTGTAGATAAGCAATCAAGGTGAACTTCTAAACCAGGCTCAGAATTCTCCTGGTGTAGTACACTATTGATTTAAAGTGTCTCAAAAAAAGAAAAAAAAAAAAGGATGAATGTGTCTGCAGACACTGTCAAAGTGAACCTTTCTTTCACCCTCTAAGCCCTGTGTGTGTTGAGTGATTATTAACCTATGACTGTGCACAGGTGCCATTGCTCCTGGTCCCCTGCCACCCCCAGGTGAAACTATGCGTTCACATGAGGCAGAACCTAAAACAGTTTCCTAAATAAACAATGATTTATAGAGGCTGCTGGACTTATGTACAGTGATTACATGGGGCGGTGTCATGACAAGATGAGGTTCATGGTGGCTTCCATATTCAAATATCCTAATTTTTATCCTGTTTTTTTTTTTTTCACTTAACTAAGATTTTTTTTTCCCATCGAGAAATATTAAAGAATGGCACATGAACAACAGAGAAGTATTTTAGGTAATCGATCACGTCTGACTCTTATTCCCAGTCATGAATCATAATCCACTTATAACAAACGGCATACTTATTCATTCATAGTTCCACTTTGATCCTGCTTTTCCCCATCTTTTTTCTTTTTTTAAATTTTTCACGTCAAGATCAGCAAATAAGTATAAAATTAACAGCTCTGAATTTTGGCTTTTCTCTCCCCTTTTCTATTCTTCCGTGATAAGAATGCCCCACAAGGAACCAAAAGAGAAAGTGGCCAAGCACAGACCTATCTGTGGTCATTCAGTTATTCTGTTATTAACTGAAGTGGAAAATGTCTTATTGAAATCAGTAGGATCTAAAGAATCTTCAAACTCAGCGATGAGCTGATCATCAACTCTGCCATCCCTTAAGACAAGCTCTCACTGCCCTGGCCACAGCTATTTCTTTACACAACAACCGCATACATAGCCTTTTCTTTTACTGTGAACTTCTGTTCAAGAATTTTTTTTTTTTTTTTTGAGAGCAGAGTCTCACTCTTTTGCCCAGCTAGAGTGCGTGGCTCAGCTCTAGCTCACAGCAACCTCCAACTCCTGGCTCAAGCATCCTCCTGCCTCAGCCTCCCGAGTAGCTGGGACTACAGGCATGCACCACCATGCCGCTCATTTTTTCTATTATATTTCAGTTGGCCATTAATTTCTTTCTATTTATAGCTAGAGACGGGTCTCGCTCTTGCTCAGGCTGTTTCAACTCCTGACCTCGAGTGATCCGCCCGCTCAGCCTCCCAGAATGCAGGATTGCAGGCATGAGCCACGCGCCCGGCCACAAGCTTCTTTCTTTACATGCAATATACATCGCCTTTTTCTTTTTCTGTGACATTCCGCTCAAGATTCTTGGTCCCAAGCATGGCTCACTGAGTGGACTATTGAGCAACAGATGGCCAAAGCACCGTGATAACGGGAGAAAAAGTTTACAAATGTAAATGAAGAAGAGATTTCTCCATAATCCAATTCCTTTCTTGCATAAGGACCTCAGACCTGTGTACCTAGTTAGCTGTTTCCCTAGTTAGCTGTCTTCCAGCCATCCTATTTCAGCTGCCCAATTGGAGCCAGTAAAAGGTTTGCATCTAACACCCACACAGATTCTGTGCTGTTTCTCTCTGGGGCTCTCTGTTAAGCTTTCGGTTTTTTTGACATTTCCCTCCCTGTTCTGGGTCAAACTCCTCTTTTTTTTTCAAAAAAAACCTTTCCTCCTTTTTTTTTTTTTTTTTTTTTTTTTTTTTTTTTTAAAAAAAATTTAATTTAAAAAAAGATTTTTTATTTAGGCCCGGGGCCCGCCAGTTCGGGCCACTTCCCAAAAACGCCCCCTTTGTAAAAAAAAAAAAAAAAAAAATTCCTAAAGCAAAACCCTCTTGGGAAAAAGGCCCCCCGGAGGGGGGGCGCCGGGGCCCCGGGGATTTTTTCGGGCCCTTGAGCCCCCAAAAGGAAAGTTTTCCCGAACCAAACAGGGCGCCCCTGGAAAAGGGCAAAGAAGGGTTGGAGCGCCCCCCCCAATTTTCTCCTTTTTTTTTAAACTTAATAGAAAAAAAAGGAAAGAAAATTTAAATCGGGCCCAAAACCCTAAAAAAAAAAATTTTATATATTCACGGAAAAAAAAAAAAATGAGGCCGGGGCCAAAAAAAACAATGGGGGTTTTGGGGGGGGGGCGCATTGCCCCTTGTTAGGTCCAGGCTTTTACCTCGGGAAAAAGGGGCTTTTTTTTGAAAAAGGGCCAAAAGGAGGAAGGGGATCGGCCTTTTGAGCCCAGGGAGGTCTTTTTTTTTTTTGGGAAGGCCTTGGCCCCTGGGTGAGCGAGGCCTTTTTTTGAAAAACGCACGGGCAAAAACTTCCCACTCCCTAGGCCCCCCCCTTTTGGGGCCAACAGGGGTGGGAAGAGGGTTTTTCCCCTTTTTGTCCACCCTCCAACAAAAAAAAAAAAAAAAAAACCTTTTTAAAAAAATTTTTTTTTTAAAAAAAATTTAAAATTATAACAAGCCACCAAAAACAAGAAAAAAAAGCCAATGGGGTGGGCAGAAGGAAAAGCCCCCCCCCCCAAAAAGGCACAAATCGCCCCCTTGGGTTCCCCTCCGAAACCCGCCT